ACCATTAGACTACTGCTGCATGACTTTGAACCACCCACTTTCAATAAGAACATGTTTTTCAAACGGGATATCATGACAAGGTAAAAGGTACTTAACGATGGTATACCAATGCAATATAATCCATTCAAACATGACTGCAAAGCCAAAATTCGTTTTGGTCCATCAAAATATGCTTCCGTATTAAGCGAAATTGCATACGATGAAGAAAAAACGTTTTCATTATTTTCGCAAGCGTGGCTATACATCACGAACAAATGAAGTTCAGCACAATTCAAACATCCACACTTTCTCCATTACAAACACTATTGTGCGTTGAACAGTCGAAGGGTCAAACCCCACAATCACAGGGACCTACTGTTCACTGGTAGGATCCAGGAATTTAAGCCTCGGGACTTGGAGTGGTAAACCATAGAAGGTTCCAATTGTATAGGCGTGGAACTACACTGGAGGTTAGCGAAAGTGCCTAGTACGAAATTGGGATGGTGATCCTCGGGCTGAGCACACCACAACTGTACAGCGAACAGGTTTTCATATCTCATAATCGCCTCTTATTTGATGGGTAATTGGATCAACTATCGCATGCAAGGTACGTTTCTTTGCTCCCAATTAAATTGTAAGATAGTAGTGATCGATCCACCACTCCCCGAAACACACGGAGAATTCAAGTTAGTGAATATCGAAGAGGGAACATTCCAGTTTTCGTATAATCAAAGAATGGAATAAAGAACATGGATCACGTGCACCGATTTAGGTGAGGAACTCGTTCGGCTCTGGAGGGTTCATTAGACAACCATGACGTTCTTCATCCACGTGGAAAGCACAAATGGTTCCGTTCCGCCTGCATCAGTTTTGCTTTATTAATTGGTCTTTCAAAAATCCAGGTGGAATTGATTCGAGTAGTCGGAGTGCATTTATTTACCATCACTCTCATTCAACCGAAGCACCGTGCCAGTAATCTTATTGATTTACCTGTTGTCAATTAATGTGCATGAAACACAAACTGTGCAATGCAAATGCTCACACGCAGTGTGTTGTTTTGACAATCGATCGATCTATTTTATTTGTAAAAATCGGTTCCATGTGACAAGAACGGTCGTTGTCCTTGACACCGTGGTTGATTAAAATACCTACTAAATCCATGTTATTGATAAGCCTTGTCAGCACGGGTGTGGTTTACAATTGAGGATCGTGAGACATGTTGCGCAAGTTGGCTGGCGGAAAACGATATAGTGTAGGTTTGAATGGGACGAATAAATGTTTTAATCAGCAAAATTGACAAAAAAGATCAATATACGGCTTGGGATTGAACCACTTTATGTAGTACACCTTCCAATGCAACGAATGAGAGGAAATCCTAGACATTTTTCTCAACCAGGGGTTCGGTGAGCCGATCAGAGATATTCACCATGTGGAATGCTAGTATAGAAATAACTCTCTCACTGACTATAAAAATCAATTTGACTGCAGTATGCACGTGAACAGATGCAGCGAAATCATCATGGATACATTGTGCAAACCCATGTTCCTGACTTCTTTGTTCAAATTTGTGACGGGAAGTGTCTTCAAAATAATTCCAGCATGAATAACATTGGTAGAGTATCCCTCGAAACGGATTCCTTTGCATACCAGTGTACACGAGAACGGCTACATTATTCATTGTATTTGGGAACTGTGGCATCACAATAACCGACACAGGAAGAAGTCTACGCATTCCAAAAATGATGAAATTTGGTGGCTTATGTAATTTATTCACCTAGTGATCGACCCAAATACAACGTACCAAACATCCCACTGTCCAGATCCATAGGTGGTTCGCACCGCAAACTAACCAATTTTTAATCTGTGCATGTCGAAGTGAGTGCGGACGTCGATAGAATGGTTGGGTTTCCAAGCTTCTTTCACACGAAGCACCGTTTCAAACGATGCATACATACATAGTACGTGAACTTCAGTTCGCGATAACAACAATCGCACACCTAAAACGCTGTAGACATTCAATCATACCGTATTATGACTGTGCAGAAAAACGTACACTAGCCTAACTAATCATGCCATAGCACATGACCAGTGCAACTTTTCCAACGGAGCTAACCTAAACGATTTTAAATCGATTGGTCAAGCTAGACATTGAGCAATATGCCCACACCCCTTCCCGAACAGTGAATAGTCTGAACAATGCGTTTAGGGAATTAATAATAATGACACTACAATGTTGTGTTTCATCTCTCTACGCTCTAAAAGTGTACAAATATGACCCCTGTTCTTGAAGTTTGCACGCTAAGTGAAGATTGATCCATTAAAAATAACCGGTAAAACATTATTTGTTTTTTCTTCAACTAACCAACCAACCACAACAAATTTAAGATCCCCGACTTCTGGTGATGCAACATTGAATTCACCACAACGTATACCAATGAGCTGATTACAGAGGAGCGTAAGTGGTAGGGCACTTCGGATTTACAAATCCGTTATCAATAATCGATAAAAGCTTTCACTGTGAATAAAATGAACTATTTCCCCTATTAACCCCATCTCGACGAGGTTTCTTTCAAACAAAACAACAGAGTGGCGAACAAGCTCGTTTTCAGATATTCGTATTCATGCCAATACATCTCAATATATATCACTACTTGGGATCACTCACGAATCTCGGTTAAAAAACTGTACTTCTCTTCAGTAAAGCACCAGATGGTATACGGTAAAACTCTTAGAATTAAAGCTAGAGAAATACAAGAGACCGAATTCATGAATCAAGGACCACTAAAACACATCAACTGAACTGGAACAGGCTAATTATCAAAAATGGCTTGTTTTAATCCATCCTATAAATGCTCGCCCTAGAAACACATTCATTCATCAAGACTAAATGAATACGGATGACGATTTAGTATAACCAGGAGATCAAAAACTGTGTACAGCCCATAAATAGCACAATCTAGTTGGTGAGCTACTCGTCCGTTCATAACGTTGAACGTTGGTACACAACCGGGTGGGTTACTAGGGAGGACACATAGTTAATTAAGTCAAATTAACCGAATTGGAACTTTCATTCTTAGGGGAGGAAAATTCCTGACCTACTGTCTGCAGAAGGCGCACTTATTCGAGTTTGTCAAGCGATCATTGTAGTTTTTTGTATCGATCGATGTTTATATGCGTAAAGCTGAATATGAGGAAAACAACCGGTATCCCATCCATGAGAATAAAGCTGAACAAATGGGACATTGATTTGATGATCATTTGCAAGGAAAGTGTACAGTGTTGCAGTCGGACAGAGTGAGAGACGAAAATGGATGCGTCCATTTTGAGTAGATAAAGATAGAGAGCAATAGGGCGTGTATCAGACCTATGCGGAAGTTCTATTGTGGGGTGTTTTATGTGACAGAGAAATTGATCTGAATTGACAGCGGTGTTGCACTACAGTGAAGTGGAGTGTAGAATTATAATTCGTTTCCGCATTTTGTCTGCCTCGAAATATCTCCAGCGTCTCACAGCCGGGCTGAACTCTCTTCTAGTCTTCCAGTGGCATTGTTCGATCCGCCTGGGATAGGGATCGTCTCAGACCATTAATTAGCTCTACACACATCAAGTAAATATGAAAGTCGTAGGTGATCAAATTTCAAACAATCCGATGGTCACCCACATGTCTGGTGTATGTCATGAATGAGGAAAAACGCCCGATTGCAGCGTTTCCATACTCCCGTGTATACGGATTGAATGCAATGCAGATGAATGAGTGAGTCAGCATACAACTGGAAATCAGAGTGATCGCAGAATGCATGAAATAAAGATGTGCAGATGCCATGTAGCCACCGACGAAAGTGATAATGAGGGCGAAACGAAAGGACGCTGGTGGACGAGCATAGTCAAAAAAATAATGATAACTCGAAAAGTAGGTTTGTCACTCTGAGGTTCTGGGTAAACGGGGGAGTAGGAGTGTGGAGGGGGACAGAGTGTAGCAATCACAATGCATGGGGTCAGCAAGCACGTATGACATTAACAAATTAAATGCCTGACAGCGTACGTTTGAGCGCGTCCATTGTTGCTATTGCCATACAGTGTGGTCGTGGGTTTTGACGAAGCGATTAACGGTATGGCGCTAAGTGGTAGATGAACGCTATTGTGCAAGTGGTTTGGATGAAATTGTGGAGAAAAATCAATCAGTGAAACAAGTGTGTTCACAATGATCACCTTCATCATTAGGATCATTAAGGACGTATACGTGTGCTGTGAATTCCATGAACGCGGAACACACACACACTAAGAGGGGATACGTGTCCGTCGGAGGAGAACCGCACGGACAGAGAAAAGTGATATCAATAATTATATCGCGAAAATTGACCTGCCAATCGGATCGGGGAAGGAGAAGGAAATCGAACGAATTAGCGCACACACACACACACACACAAAGTGAACATGAAAAAAGCGGTAGCAGAATTTCAAGCGCCTAACAAAGCACAAATATCTGAGAAAGATATAGTTAAAAGTGACCCATGAAGCACCGTGCAAGAACTATTTCGGTGTGCGAATTTTTTCGATATAATAAACATGATCAAATATGGGCAATGTATCAAACCGGGAATTGTCATGCCAAACAAAAGAAAGAGAGATGAGAAAACGAGCAGTTAAATCAAAATACAACGGTATCACGGACGTAGTATTGCTCTATCAAGCCAAAGGAACGATTCCCTGTTGAAAGTTAAATAATGGCATACACTGATGGGACCTCGCAGCATGGAATAGGTTACAATGGGATTTCATACAAACCTGTATACTATTTAACCGCATTGCTGACACACTTCCACTGGCCTCAAACATTGCATGCACATATTATTCGAAGTTGTTCAGGTACGGCTTAGTGACATGCAGAACAAACCCAAAATCAATCGATTAGTCTAAGTGACGAATATGCATTCCAGACAGCGTGGCAGCTGCACTTTGTGCACCGTGGACAGTACACCAGACACCGACACACACACACACATATGGATGCGCATTAGGAATTATGGCGTACCTGAAACAGTCGAACTGCCACGTGGTTGAGTGTACTGAGCACGAGGGCGGGAGCGTCGATCGGCATAATTTACCGAGAGACCGGGGCGAAGAGCCACATTGCGGTTCCGAGTAGAAGAACCAGTCTGTTGTATGGCTTTCGAATGACGAGATGGATAACAATTATTACAATATAGTTGTCCGCACCGAATGCGTACGTCCGTATTTGACAAGCCGTCGCTGAGCGCCACACCACAACGTGAACAGACAAAACATGCCAGGTGGTAGTATAAATTCATTGACTCAATAAGCATCAAATCCCCGGAACCTGAAGCGCACGTGCGAGAGAACGGACATGGAATAAAGTGAAGAATACGTTGATGAGGGCAGATTACCGCAAAGCTTGGTCAGACATGCATGTTTTAAAATGATGTCTGTCCCGGGTCTAGAGATCGAGATGGAATCTTAGATACATCATCCAAAAGTATGCACAAAAATATAAAGGCCTCTCCGATATTATCTTCCGTGGTAGACAAAGTATTCGTAAATAATGAGAACCCCACTAGGCCGGGAAAAACTTGAGCATACGTGTATTTTACTCCCTGGACCCATACCCACAATTAAAATTGAAGTGTTTCTCAATAACTGCATGCAATGCATAAGACAAAAAAGATAAGTGACAGTGTAGAAGACGAGTGTCGATTTCAAACTGCTTTACTGTTAAGTTAACCTCAAACGATCGATTCTCGTGGAACCAACAATGCTACTACTGTTATCCGCACCTTATTCCGTTTACGATAGATCAGTAAACCTTTATGAATCATCTATTACAACTGAGCTGTTTGCTCATCCTCGTACCACATCCCATTCCATACACCCTCATGTTTCATCCATCGCCGGATCTGTCTCGTACAGCTACCAGCTGGCCATAAAAATAATATTGCCCTAAATCTGCACTTTAGTGTCCCTGAGACTGGCACCTGTATTTCTTACCATTGACCCTTGTGTATTTCTTTTACATTGTTTTTAGTTCGTGAGTTCACCAGTTGGTTTCCGACCGAGTACGCAGTATGTTTAGCAGACAGGACCCATAGATGATATTGAACTCATTCAGACAACTGCGCGCCGTGCTCCTGTTGATTGCAGCAATTGATTTTCTTTATCACGGTGTACAAAAACCCAATCAATAGGTGGTGTGTGCTAGTTTGGCATTTGACCCACCTCGTCATAGCCTATATTTCCGTTTAATCTCCAACTGTTCGGCAAACGTTTTCGGAGAACACCAGAGATGGAAAGTTGTACACGTTGCTACTCTGTAATAGTTGTTGACGTGTATTGCAATATTCACCACAGGCCCTGAAGAGAATCGCAAACTGATCGATCTCGTGTTCTGATGTGACACGTCACTCTATCGTGCAGTGAACACCGGATGCAATTAATAGATATGGTCAAAAACATCCGAAAAGTTACGCACATGAAAAACTCAACGTGCAGTTCAAGTAATAATCAAACAGAAAATGGTATCCGAAAAGCCGTACTTGCGGTCCCGGTTATCTCATTTTGACGAGTCACTGATATACAAATATTTTACCGCCATNTACCGCCATGAGAAGCAACACTCACGTTCGTGAGTTTACCGGACAGCAGAAAATAGCAGATGGTTAACACTGAGGACCTAGTGTATGAGGATATGCGAATATGTAAACATTCTACACTTTGCAACCAGTAGTAAAATGCACTCGAGAACAAGACATTCACGGCAGACAAACCGCATAGTGTATTCCAAATCCAGTTGAAACGAATACTCTGAATTTTACTGTTATTCACTTGAGCGAACATCTGAACATAATTTTTCTGATTGTGATCGATCTTGCAAAATAAATATCGCTCACGAATAGGTCACCTAACCACTTTTTTCGGAGCTGGTAGTGGTCTAGATTTCAAGCAAACGTCTTAAAAGCGATACATTTTAAGACAAATAAGAAAAAAGATGGAAAGGGGTAGGGTAAATAAATGGGTTGGGCGGGTGCAGAATGCTTGAGGGCACCGAAATCATCCGATCTAGTAGGAAAAGCGTGATTTTAAACAAGTTAAGGGTACTGGACCGACCATAAGTGGAATGTGGTGCGCTGCCAAATGACCGTGATCAAACACAGGAGAGACAGATCACGTTTAGTGAATAAATCAACTCGTTTAGAAGTGGTTCATTCATTGGGTCCGCCTTACTGACAACAATAAATCGAAAAGCATGCGATTGCTGCCGTTATTTGTTCATCGGCAAACGCGTGTGAAATAAAGCTGTCATTGGGTAATGGCAAATGAGAACTCGCTTTCAATACCATCTGTCATTGCCACGTGCATGTTTGTCAGCCTCATCCAAAGCGAAAGAAGGTTGAAGCAACTGAAACCTACGGGAACAATATTTTCCAAGATCGTGACAGATTGGTGTTGTGAGTAGAGAAACTCGATAGTTCAATCAAGCATTAGGCAGCATACCCCATAGATTACGTGATGCACGTGTACAGTGAAAGCATACCGCAATACTTACCAAGTTCGCGAGTGCAAGCAATGCACTTTTGTTTCTGATTAATAAGCTTATTCATAGGAACTCTCGGAGGCTGTGGTGGTGGATCGGATTTGTTTGCTTTGGGCGGAGGTGGAGGTGCATACAGTCGTGAATGAGGCCTGCGTTGTTGGAACACAATAAAAGAGCAAAAAAGGAAGGGAATGATAATAAAGACAAAGACCATACTGAGACTATGGTGCAACTGGGTAGCTCGTACGGGCATTTTGTTGAACCAGACTTGCATTTTTCAGAAGCAATTACTGCGCAATCAAACAAACAGAACTAGGCGGCATTACTGACAACCCAAAGCGATGGCTTCATGGAAGGACAGACGATTAACTGGCACGCTAAGGTGAGATTTTCTCAAATAATAGGACTTTTTCCGTGGGTTGACGAAAAACGGTAACAACTGCAGTCGTTTACTGCGGTAGACGTTGGCTACTGAACTCGCCTCGTAAAAAGATCAATTTTTTCATTTTCTTCGACTACAATCAGTGGCATCATGTGATATTGAGCAGTATTACACCCGGATCTTTTGCACTGCATCTTTGTTTCGATTGTTGGATCTATATTCAAATATAATCCATGAAAAAGTACAGCACGGATTTATGCAACCCAATAGTTATTTTATCGCATGAGTGAACTTAGCAACTGTCAACAGAAAGAAAAAGGAAAGAGAGTGGAGAATAGCAGAGTATTACTTATCATTCAAAATTAACATATATGCAGAATGAAATAAAGAGCAATGGCATGTAAAAAAATATAGGCCTTTTGGTTAGCGCATAATGAAGCGTAAGATATAGATCGTTTAATGCACCACTTACGACAATTTGTACATTACTCTGCAGTAACAAAGCGACAATACGATGAGATGTGTATTATTGAAACTGTCTGAATGGTTTCAGTACAGCGGTCTACGTACGTGTGTGGTGATTTGCATACGTTCAGCCCAGCCAGATACACGTCCAATCAATACCGCGAGGGAACTGCTGCTATATCGGTTATACGCACGCTTTTCAAAACAAAGAAGACTATCCACCTGCAAATGCAACCGCTTGAGAAAAGGCTAAACCTATTGAGGAAGGTATCCAACCGTGTCCGATCAACCACACAAAAATAGCTTTTTATCTGTATACGAAAAAAGAAACAGTTGATGTAGGTTGCAAACTCCTTACACTAAAAGATAAGGGAATATCGATGAAAATAGACTGACCTGATGCACCTGGCACTGATATAATGCTACTGCATGTTTAACTAACCCTCGTTAGTGCATTCCGCGACCAAGCCGCATGTTTTCTAGTGTATCCTAAGGTCACGGATGCAGGGAACAACCACTGATTAAGCGGCTTGAAAGAACATAAGCAATATCCAAGAATGCGGTCGGATTTTGATTGAAAAGTGATCTCCCTAGAAAGCGCCCCCATATTCAGACAATGGCAATGCAACAGAAAATTTGATTCACGACGGATCGGATCGAGGCACATTCAATCTACACGTCAACACGAATGAAACAAAGCAATGGCCACTGGATTATCTGAAACCGGAGTGATACATTCAATACTGCACTTGAATGTACAAAGACCAGAGAAGCCTCGAATAAAATGCTGAAATGTGCTTTGGACGCCAAAGATTTGACTGTAGTCCACGAAGTTCATTCATACTCAAGGAAAGAACAGTCGAGTAAAAGCAACTTTAATAGATTCCACCATGTGATCGAAACTAGGTACGGATGTGCGATACATCAATTTCCGATCCACATCGGAAACTAAGTATACAAGAAAACATTGAAATAATCTAAGTATCGATGATTAATCCATGATAAACTCACTCGTGCCGTTTGTATATAGTTGGACCTTTACCATCGTCAAAATCATCAATTACTAGTTCAGTTGTTTCACTGANCTTTAGTCGGTGGATTTTGCTCACGACTATTGCTTAGAGGAGGCAACAACGGTGAAGATGGAGCTGGAGGTGGAGTGACTGGTATCTCTGGCGATGGCGTGATGTTTCTTAACGTTTCCGGGTTCACAAGACTGTCCGAATCTGAACGGGAACTGAGATCCACACGTATTGGAACACTGCTACGGAAAAGGGCATCCTTGAAATCAATCCAACACTTAACGCGTTCATTGCTGGCATCTTGATTTGTTATAAAGCCGTTTGCATTCAATGAATAACCATTCGTTTTAGGGGCGCCTTGCTGTCCAGTTACTGAGTAGGAATCATAGGTGGGAACTGATTCGGACGAGAAGAACTGTGGTGGAGGAGGGCTGGGTAGATCGGATACACGAGAATTGGCAGTATTTTTGGGCTTGGTCGGAAGTACGGGCTCTGGTTCACTTTCAGAAATGGTGTGAAAGCCCTGTTCGTGCGAAGACGATGGTACATCTGAATCGGTGAAATCACCGAGTCGATGAAATTCCAAGTTAATGACGTTGCTGAACGATCCAATAGTCGAAGGTGGTGGACTTGGTGACAGCGGTAACAAAGGAGGCGGCGGCGGCAAACACATGACTGGAGATTGTGGGAGGGGAATGCTGGGAGATTCTTCTACCTGGGGGACAGCAATCGAACGGTTCTCTGGTGGTGGCGATTTAGGTATTTTCACCTCTGTGGGCTCGGTATCATGTTTAACTGCTGGTGGAGGCTTGATTTTGTAGTCAGTTTGAGCCACGCCCTGTAATAGAGAAAAGTGTAGATTTGTTATAGCAGCCACTTGCATATTGGTTTAGAAATATCCCATCACGAACCGCGATAATTATTGTTTCTTTTTTGCAGTGGTGCATAACTTCCTGGCTTGAGCACAATGAACAATTCTTTCGGAATTAGGCGTAATTAAACAAAGATTGATTTGTTTCACCAGAACGGATATTTAGGATGAATTAACAACTACCATGGGCGATCGGACTGAGAGGTCATGTACTAATAGTCTAAATACAAGCTAAACATTCCAAAGTATCAAAATAAGGCAAGTGACGAGGGTGGCATAGTACTGATTATACAATAGGCTTGAAGTTGGCAATAGCATGTTTTCAGGTTCATTAAAACGATACGTTCGAGCTGATGAAACCAAGTTATAGCGAAATCAATTTGGTGAGCGTAACCCAGACTATGAAGCCGACCGGTTAGTGATAAGATGAATAAACGTTTAGGCGAAACAAAACGACATATCAAGAAATTGGGACAAACTGTTATCAGTAGCAAAGAAAAAACAATGATAGAAAAAGCCACACCTACATCATGTGGGCTCGATCTATGACCGAGAAAGTCTGCTAACCGCAATAATGAGCATCAGCAATAAAACTGGAAAAACCCGAAATACACAACAATAAATGATCGAAAACTCTCAACAGGGTCACAGCGTAAACACTATCAAACACAATAACCCATGAGCTAAACGAAACGCAGCAAACCAACCGATCGAATTTCCTATAGACAGGAAACAAGGGACTAATTGAGGTGAACTATACAGCGAAACAAAATGGTTCTGGACTTCCCGTTGATTGCAACTGAATTTTTGTGTCACGCATTAATAACTTGAACAAATCAAAAAGAAAACTCCACGGTTGCGAGAAGCTACCACTCAGTTGTATCAATCGATAATATAAGCAATGAAATTCGAGGTAGGCAGTAAAATAAAAACCAACAAGGCAGGCATGACATTGAGTCCGAGGAGAGCAAAGCTGTATACCAACAAGTTTGGGTGGTGCTGGAAAGATTCGAATATTGCGGCCTGAAGCACCCAATGACAGCGAACCTGATGGTGGAGAAAAACCTCAGACCAATTTCCGATAAATTTTCATTGATCTGGTACCAACTCGCATGCAATTTCAAAAGGCATAAGAAAGTGTAGTAGGTGAAGGTCTCTCTGGAGGGAGAACATACTAGGAAGAATTTGGCCCGTGCCAGAACAATGATGTATAGACTGCTGTCGAACGAAACAAAGGTTTCACTGCCGTGAAACAAGAGTGTACGAAGTGCGACCCAGCAACACGATGCTGCAGAGTGCGTCCATGGGTGACATAAAAATGAGAGCCTGTGTTGTCTTTTTGGTTATTGGAAATGCTGGAAATTCCCATGACTCACGACAATGACCTTCTTGTCTAATGAAAGATCTGACAAACACGTCGCGGGTGTGCAACCAAAGCAACGAGAAATAGGCAATATGAACTCAACTGTTTTCATCTAAACATTGGTTAAACTCCGAATTCGGCAGTTTGACTCGACGGGGAAACCGGATAGGATACACGAGAATTCGGAAAAAAGACATCTGCTACTTTTGTGTACGCTCAGTGGCACAAATCAAAAAGAGGAAGCAAATCAGCGCAACGCCCGAGGAACACCCAGAGTGTTGTCCCGTTGTTTGCGAAATGTGAGGAACAGCGTGTTGAAAGAGATGCATTCGTCGAAACAATAATGAGTGTCTGTAGCAGATCCTGAGAAAGAACGTTTTCGGTGCGTTTTTAGCACCGATATGATGGGAGAAACTTATAAGAAAACAATGTGGAAATTCGGTATGGTTTTTGTCCTTACAACAGATGTGGGCCCGTAAAGTGCAGAGTTAGCTACACAACAGACTGCTGGCTCGGCAGCATGATTAAGAAATATATTTATCAGCGGTGCTATGAGAGAGGAGAGTGAGCACATATTATTAGTATCGGTAGATCGAAAGATGCGTTTGCATAAACCCGTTAGTAGTTGGTCACGCAGTAAGATATAGTTCACAGTCGAATTAGAAAGTATAACCACATGACAACTTGGATGGCAAATCAACTGTGATCTTTGTTCTGGAAAGTGAAACGATGACCGAGGAGTCTTTACAATTAAAAAGTAAACTAACACCTTAAATAGGTGAACATTTTTCTAATCAGCATGATTATATGCATACTAACTACTAGCACTTCAATTTCTTCAAAATATCGTTGCAGAAAGTGATTAAAAGAATGCAGAAGTGATACTAATAATGTGTGCTGGACAACATTTCCTTACAATTTTAGCTGAAAATCAATATTAAATTATACGTTAGTGCATTAGTTACCAGTTCGTTCAATTTAACTGGACTATAAAATCGATCCCTAAAAGTTCAATCAACCTAAACCATGTGACGAACCACACAGAACAAACTTAAAGTGATGTATACGTTTGTATCGACAGTTCGATTTGTTTAGATGATGATGATGACGAATCAAAATGATCAATTCGATTGAATTCCATCTTCTAGGAAGTTACGCGTACAAACGCACAGTTGTACGTGTGACAAGAACGGTTGTTAATATAGCGAGCGGTAAGCTACACATGACTGTCACGGTTCAGCATCACGGATATATTACTACAAAGCATTCAACTATACATAATGAGAAAATCACGACCAATTCGTTAGATTCCTTCCTTTTGTCAGCCTGCTTTAAAAAGCAATATTTTCATCATATTATGGACAGTAATGTCCATATTGAAATAACAAGTATATAGGGATTACCCTTATGCATTTTTAAGTCACTTTACAAGTGACAAGGCATATAGTGTAAGATGAGAATAGTGGAGGATTTGAATGGATTACGATGACCAAGTGTGCAGTGAAACAAAGGGAGCTGGTTCGACCTGGTCGAGCCTCGTCAGCAAAGTGAATCTGTCGATCCATCTGAAGATCGAACTCGAGACTTCACACGTAGAATGCAAGTAAGCTACCCACTTAACCACCGGGAAGCTGACCAGACAGTCTAAATTCGGTATACATGGTGCAGTACATAAAAATCTATGCGCAGGTCCGAATCCCACCGCGCGTCAGTCTGTACAACCATTAACTGTGCATTTTCGTGTGCCGATTTTGGCTACCCATTTGGATGAAGCAGTGGGAGGAAGATAGAACTTTTTGTGATCTCGAATTCTACATCCAGACAGCCTAGAGCGACCTATGTGACCGGGCCTCCTGGTTGATGTTTTCATACCTTCATGAAAGGTCTGAGTTTGACCGCCATTTAACTTTTCCACCCGACACCTGCCTCGGCAAACAGCACGCAACGTGGCAACCTATCTGGTGACATGCGCAACACATGCCGCAAAGAACGTAATCTACTGAGGACGACTACTTCCTCCAATGGACGGCAGTGGTTACCTAAAACTTTTCGCGGAACCTCAGCATTGTTCGATCGGCTGCCCCACCAGATTCGTGCCATTCTGTGTAGACAGCGGAGTTCAAACACCGACAGTTTATCTTTGTCGTTTCCTTAATGGCCAAGTTTCTGCGCTGGTCAGCCTGCCGCAGCATTCACTCGACTCTTTACGGACAGTTGGATGTAGCGGCGGAGTCTCAGAGTTCTCAAGTTGGCAAATGTCAATCGAGTCTTCGTTATGTGAGCTAACACCTGATCCGTGATGCGTCCAGCGGGTGAGATATAACTGACAAATAACACAAGTGGATTATTTGATCTGTTACTTCCCCCGTTAGAGTGAGCCTGGGGGCTCGTCCGACCCAGCACCGAGGCTACTGATTTGATCGCAATCCAAACATCAGCCATGAGTAGGTTGATTCTGTTATAAAAGCGTTTATGAACCAGTCAGTCAATGAGCACTCACCTCCGGTGAAGCGGCAGTAGCAGCTAGGGCCATATACGTTGGTTCCGTTCCTGTAATTTCCACACGCCGAGCACTCGGGGGTGTGCCTAGCTTAGATTCATCAACTTGACTGGGCGTGTTCAACTGAGAGGCTCCAACTTCGGTGGCATCACATACTGAAAATGAACACAACTGGGTAGATTAGTCGGGTAGGAGAACAGTAAGACAGTTTCCAGCAAAATTTCAGCCAATGTGTCCGACATTCTAGGAAGAGGTGCACAGACATGAGAGGAGAAGCAAGAAGTTAATCATCATGCAACTAAGACGTTGAAGAGACAACGAATAATTACATAATACCCACCTGTAGAAGACAACGTAAACGGATGAACAATCATGTTATAAATATATATATATATATATATATATATATATAAACATGCGTGTGTGTACAAATTTGAGGAACTCGATGTACTTTCGCAATCGGAATGACATCCAATCAGACAAATACCATAGGCATCACATGAACTTCAAGTGATACAGCTGATCGGTAGCGTAAGACATTGACTCACAAAACAAACACTAACAGCGGAACTATGCTCATCAACTGTAAAAGACAAACGCCAAATACAGAACACAACAAGCGTTATCCGCACTTTATGATAAGAGATAAAGAGACCACCCATCTGAATTCTAGTTGACGAACAAGGCAATATGAAAGTGCTTTGTTTTGCCAGGGAATTGTTTAATTATTATGTAATTTTTCTAAAAAAAATCTGTGCGTGAAGTGACCTGAATATCGTAAAAGCACAAACAGAGACAATTAGTGCTCCATAGAGGAAAGTTGACAGAGATTCTACGAGCCTAATTATTGTTTATGATTGAACAGGTTAAGCTGCCAAACGGTTCAACAGGTTTTTCGGGAGAAAGAGAAGCTAGTAAAACAAATGTTAACTGATCGAGGGTACCGAGATGGATTAGGAATAAATTAGAAACCCAATCATAAAATACCTGAATAATTTGTTTTTAATTTAGAAATTAAAAAATTTGGCATACATGTGGACGAACAGGTGCTGTTACATCACATTTACTCATATGAACGGAAAGGTAGAACTAGTATAGTCATGTCAATGAAACCATCAGTGCGCTTGTACAGTCTAATTTTCCGCTGACGTTCGAAAGTTCCTCAATATAGCATATATGATTGCGTTAGGTTCGCACTTAGCTGTCACGGAACCACATTCAAACACCTGAAAGTTGTGGGTAGGTGGTTGACCCTGTTTCTGTTCGAATGTAAATCCGGAAAATCTCTAAATCTTACGGCTTTTCCAAAGTGTAACCATCAACAAAATTGCTTTATAAAACCGAAAAGTGAACACTGGCGTGGAGCACTGATTCGAAATCAGTCTGAATTATGCAAGCAATTCAAAGGCAAAGCAAGCAAAATGGGGAAGGAATCCATGCATATCGGAACCAAGTTAACTATGATGAAACTGGACAGGCACAAAATCACAGCGCCTAACCGAGTCAAATAGATCAGTTCAATAGTAGATAGAACACCAACACCGGTGAGATGCATTGGTACACTGCGTGAACAGTACTAAAAGGAGGCAGAGGCGCTGATGATAAGACAGTCATGACAAAATGTTTCGGTCGTAACAAATCGGGTTACGGGCACCACTATCCGTTTGGACAATTTGCATCAGAAATAATATCGATAAAATAGCCAACCAATTAAATAGAAAATACAAGAAAATTACTGATCTTTAAAATAATTAGGGCAATGGAGAAGTGAAACAAGCGGTTCTGATTATGAAATATTAGAGAATGAATACTGAAACGAACTGAATTCTACAGCGTAAAGTAGTACATGAAGACGGAAGCCACGATGTAATTTACTACTATACTAAACATTGCAGACGAAACCGTGGCACGACATGTATACATATAGACTAAGGTCTAAAGAAGATGTTTCATTTATGACGGCTAACAAAGAGTAATATTAAGCTGTTTTGTCTTTGTTAGAACGTGTCAACCGTACATAACTATGAATTCAAAGAACCCTACAACCAGCAGTAAAAACCTTGAGCACTTGGCAAAATTAATTTGACTATTCTTTCATTAACCTGGGCCAGGGCAATACTATTACGTCGGACTCATTGTCATGGAACACGTTTAGTTACTACAGGACAACGCATGTTCAATGCGATGGCAACCGGAATTTAGCAGACACTGAGTATAAAACAAAAACAGACAGTACCTATCTGAGGTAAAGCCAAATGTCATAAGTTCAAAAGGTCCCTGGGCAACACACCACATATGGATAGAGAAGTAAAATGAAAAATGACAAGAGGTGGAACAAAGGAGGATCAACATAAAGCGGTGAAGAATTGAGGCCTTGAAAGTCAAAACCTGAACTGCTAACATTTGTACATTTAGGATCCATCACGAAATCTGAGGAGATACGATAGGGTCCCATGGAAATTGATTATCTAAATAGGTTTCAGTTGAAAACAGTTTACCACCTGCCACTGGGTGAAGCACAGAAGATAAACGCGTGTTACACGATGAGATGGGCCAAAGTCTGAATAATCATGTTTCCAAAATCATTGACACACTGGGTCGTTGGATTCGATCGCCCAAAACTGACGTAATCTGTGATCAAAGTGCTTCGGGAATATGATTCAATTAAATGAAAGAAGTGATTTTCTGAGCACAGAACTGTCATGTCACAAATACTTGATGATTCGAATTAATCATTGACACAGTGCCTGAGTAAAAATGGGTTCCAAATATTGTGTCGATAAGCAATCGGTTTCGGGTGAGGAAAGGGATAGCATAATATTCTTACTTGTTTGGTGCACGCGATATCTATAGTGCCTTCAGCTAATGAAGACCAGAATTTTGTGGGCTCCAGCCTGAAAACCGGTATGCTCCAGCGAAAGTTAGATCAATACGCAGTTTGTCCAAACATCTAAATAAAGGCATCCTAGCTAATCTCGTCTAGTTCCCTAATCTGGCTCAGTGTCTGCACAAAAAAACAAGGTAGGAACGAAGTCGATCGGACATTGACGAGAAAGAATATTTGCCCTACCACAAGTTTTCAGTTGCATCGTTATCCACGCTAAGCTCCCGCCATAAGCGGGCCAATGCAACGTGGAGATAGTCATTAGCCATGGTTTGCTGAAGGAGACCAATTTTCGGAGCTACTGATCAACACAACACAAAGTTGAGCTTTACACGCATCCTCTAAATAGAAGAAAGGTGCGTCTAGCCGGGTCGAGAAGTGTCGCAGATTAGTAAACACCAACCTAGTTGGATTACGCATTGGGATCTTCCCATTCACACCTTCGAGGTGGACAACTCTAATACACTTCTAGAATATCATTACTCCAAAATATTCACCAATATAATTATTAATCTTGCAGCAGCACCTGGAACTTCGAGAGTTTGAAGCACACGTTATACGCGGACCTTTAATTGCTGAGTAGAAAACATGAGATCTACGACTCGGTCTCCAGAATGAAGGTCCTTGTGAGATTTGCCTACGCTAAGTTGTGACAGTTTGTCTGATACTGACACCGCGATGTTTCTGTATTAGAAATTTTCTTAAGATCTCTTCTTCTGTAGCCAGTACCGTGAACCGACTGCGGTAGCCATCGTGACGCTGTTTGATTAGTGATGTGAAATGTTCTTCTTAGAGTGCAAGAGTCGGCGAACGCTGTATACTGGCGTGCTGTAAATTTCGCTACATGGTTCACCAACGCAGTTTTTGAAGCTAGTAGCACCGATGATGTTCAAAGTCATTGAGTGGTTCTGCACCTAGTTCCTGATTACATCTCTATTGGATGTAGCAACCCCCCTGGGCTTTTTGGTCATCCTTAAACCTCGGTAAAGTTAGTATCTAACTCTTTCTGATAGACGATCAGCAGGACTGGGTAGAAATGTTTGGCAATGTTAAGTTGTTTGCAGTCACCAAATCAGAATACCAGATGGTGGAACAGTACAAGTGGTAATATTTTACACATCCTTCGCATTCATTGCTGGTTGCTATGTTATCGATCTAAGTCGATATTTGCACCAGCGCGGGGTTATGCCAAGTAGCTAGGTGATGTTTCCGGCATTTGAAATTCCTGTATATCTCGCTACCACCGGCTATCTTTCCCTTTTCTGTAGTTCCTCTGACAGTCTTTTTACGGCAGTGACCCAATTTCAGAAGGTTGAGTGCAAATTTGCATACTCAGTATATAACAAGGGAAATGAAGCATTTATTTAATTTTGAAAAAAAGGCTAAGAAGTCCACCGATATTGTTGAGACTAACACGAGCGTTTAGGTCTAATGCCATAGTCACGATTTTGGTCCTAGTCAGCAGACTAAAAAAAGGCAATTTCAAAGTTAGCAGTATCATTCGACATCCGGGTCCAAGGAAAAACGGAAATGAAATACTCCGAGAGATAACTAGCTTCAATCTCTAGATCATGAAGCCAACGATCTACAGCTGTCTGCCAACTCATACGCACTGGTGTTCTCACGTTGAAGGGAGACAGAATGGGCGAGGCATGAGGTCGGGGGAAATAACAACAAGACACCTTCCAGGACGATATATCCAGCTACAACACGAACGTACTTCAATTCAACCATTCAAAAAAAAGGAAACGGTAACAGAAGCATAAGTTACACAGAAAAATGTTGTGTGCAATTTTCGTAAAGATCGTGCTGAGTATTTGTGTTCAAGAAACGAGGGTATGTATACTTGAGTGGATCCATGGTTAGTTTGAAGGTTGGCAACAACGGGAGGGCAAGAACTCAAAGAATACACAAATAACGTAACCGATATCAGAAAAGAAGCTTGAAGAAGTGAGAGTGAAGATGAGGGCAACTGGAGTATTTTACCAAAACTGTATTCTCCCTCTGTCTAGCGCTAAGGTAAAAAAATTAGCGACTGGTATCATTCAAACCAGCTCTCATTTAAGTTCGAAGTACGTTCAATATGAGAAAAAACGATGGGCATATGCTTCAACTTTTGGAATGGTTGTAAGCAATTCTGACAATAAAGGCCGATGGAAAGCTATTTCTAAGTCTACTACAGGAATACTGCAATAAATCAGAGAATAAATATTCGTTGATTCACATATGGCGCGATGTCGATTTCCATTCTGCACGAATAAGCGTCCATACGTGGGTTCGAATCGCACCGAGGCTACTGAACTTTTCACAATAGAGGTTAAATAGCACGAGAGAAGCGGGCGAATGAGCGCTATTCAAATAAAGATACAGAGAACAGATTCGCGAAAAAGCGAATAGATGCCGAGTGTAACTCAACCATGTCACACTGTTTCCAGTCAGCCATTTGAGTAATGCGACCAGTGGGACCAACAGTCTTGGTCAGAAGTTTTACATCGTCATGTAAGGACTTTCTCTGATCACCCTCAGCTTTATTCCACTCCACACCTCGTTCGGTATACATCGAGTGCGGAGAGAACCGACTTGAGGACGTACGCAACACATGAGCCCAGCTACCGGTATCCAGTGGGGTCAAGCGCGGGATATATTGCAGGAACAAGATTACCTAAAACTGTGTGCCTGACCACAGCATATCCTGTCTAGTTGCCTTTCAAAAGTCGAGCACTGCAGCGTAGACAGTGATGGACGTTCACAGACGGTCTGACTTAATTTTTCCCTACTTACTGTCATTTTTTTTTTCGGCGAACACACCAAAAGCGATCAAACAACTTCAGCATGCACTGAAAACAAATAAATTTAGCGGCGGCACATTCGATCGAAGACTTAGTTGGGTAATTAATTTTGTTTGAGATACCTCCGAGTTTCTTAATGCAGCGACTAGAGCTGGGATCGCGTACCCAAAACACACTAATGCAATACGCACAAAGGTATTCTTGTGACTAAAATCATACAGACCCAGTAAAAGCGGGCATCCCAACGCTGACTAGATTTGAATTGAAAACAAGGGTGGAATGAGGGGATCAATAAGTGAGAGTGAATAATTTAATGGTGACGACAAAGATAAATGTAAACATAACTATGAGTTCGATAGAATTCACTGATGACTGTTGCGAAGGCTGATTACGTGTTTAAAAATAACAAGGTACTTATTCACATGAATAAGGATTCCTAAAATGGCAGTTCGGTTTGAACAACCATTAAGGTATATTCGAGCGCCGGTTTTGGTTACCCATTTGGATGAAGAATAGAAGAAAGAAAAGTTGAAAGTGGAGTCAAACAGAAAATGGAGAAGTTCAGTGGTTTAAGGTCGCAAAGAAATTAACGAGATGAATGAACGCCACTGCTTACGACACCCAGCCATATCACTCAGTGTAGCTAACCATCGGTGACCATCATCACGAGGTCACCAGACAGGGAGCCTAAAGGGGCCGATGTGACCTTGTCTCCTGGTTAGGGCTTTTCATACCCTTATGCCAGGTCTTAGCGCGACCACCCTTGGCTTTTTTCCACTCGTTATCTGCTTCGGCGAACATCGCTCGCCGTGGTGACCTACCTGGTGACATGTGTAACACATGCCCCAACCAACGTAATCTATGAAGGTCGACCACTTGCTCTAGTGGACGACCTCGACTGCCTAATACTCTACGCCTAATCTTAGCATTGCTAGTCCGGTTACCCCACCAGACACGTGCAATGCTACGTAGACAGCGGTGTTCGAACACCGACAATCTATTTTTATCCTGTTCCCTTAGTGACCAAGTCTCTGCACCGTAGAGCAGGACTGGCCGAACTGTCGCGGCATACACTCGACCCTTCACAGACAGCCGGATGTCGCGACGGCGCCACAAATGTCTCAAGTTGGCAAATGCCAATCGAGCCTTTTGTATGCGTGCCGACACTTCATCTGTGATGCGTCCGCCGGGTGAGATATAGCTATTTCTAAGTCTACTACAGGAATACTGCAATAAATCAGAGAATAAATATTCGTTGATTCACATATGGCGCGATGTCGATTTCCAT